GAGGCTTTCTACCCTCTCAATTGATTTTCTTCTCTCTTTGAAGAATGCGATTTCAAAGATTAGAATTCAATCAACTTCAAGAGAGAAAATGTTGGGAAGTCAATTATCTTATTTCCAGTTAAAAAAAAAATTCTCTCAACGATCCAAGAAATAAATCTTTGAAACTGTATAATATCATGAATACAAAATCACAACCACAATGAAACAGCAATTCCCCAGCAACTCAGGCTGGGGACACCCTTGATATGCTGACTAATTTGCATCGCAGCAGCAGGAACACTAGAGAACCATACTGTTGCATTGGTTTAGCATAGGGGTGTGGACAACACACTGTCTTAGCATAATAAAATTTAGAAGCTTAATTCAAAACAAGGAAACAAGTTTGAAAGAAATTCTCCCTAAACTCTAGCATGAACTCCTATCCAGGGACTTGAAGACAAAATTCATATTTGGGAGGATAGATATCCCACTGGTTCTTTTAAACAATGATAGAACCTGAAAGAAAAGAACAGATCCTACAAGAGTGGTTAAGAGTGTCACTCCATCACTGCAATGCCTCCAGCAGCTTTAATCTTCTCTATTATACCATTTGCCTCCTCTTTGGTAACCCCTTGTTTAATTAAAACCGGTACCTTCTCGACCAGATCTTTCGCTTCTTTCAATCCCAGATTTGTAAAAGCCCTCACCTCTTTGATCACCTTGATTTTTGCAGCTGTATCAAATTTCTCTAACTTCACATCAAATGCTGTTTTCTCTGCCTTCTTTTCCTCAGCTTTTGTTGATCCAGCACCTGCCCCTCCGTGGGTACCAACGTCCATGCCCTCAACCGATATTGACTGCATCTTGGGATGGCGTAGTCTCTCTCGGAGTGTGGGACCGATTTGAATCCGTTCTTCTGTGGGTAGGGCTGCAATTCGCTCTGCAAGCTCAATGACCTTGTCAGAAGGTGGGGGTCTAGGGCCATAGGGATCATAGAATGGTGGGTACTTGTATCTTTTGGGTTTTGCATGGGGATCTTTGGGAACAAAGTCAGATTGGAATGAACATGACTGCAAAGGACCAGTTATTTCTCTAAGAGTGGGGCGGACAGAAATGGATCTGAGCAATGCAACAAGCTTCATGGTTTGCCGATCAGAAAAAACATTAATTCATCAGTGCATGCTTATGGGAAGGAGGTAGTCTAATCACGCATTTGTAGCATTCAAAGTAATTGGTCATGGCAGCTTCACTTTTTTCTCATGAAAATCTGAACTGCACCCGAACTTGACCTGGAAAAAGGAATTGAGAGTGTAAGTTAAACTTTTTCACTGGCCGAGGATAAACCATCAGGTCTCATTCAAAATTGTAAGGGCCAACCAGGGTCAGAGGTGATAATATGACAAACATTGCATGACATGTCACAGCCACATGGTGGATAGGAACGACCAATCCTATTCTCTTTTCGTTTCCACTCCACAGGAATAATCGTTGATAGTTTGGTTATAGGCGACCATACATATGATCATATAGGATTTGTATAAATCCAACAAATAAAAGACACAAAATACAATCCAACTGTAATTACAAAGTTCATGATTCCCATAAAATTTGGCTTACCAACCAGAAACCCCCTCCCCCCTTTTTCTCAGTTTGAGAACTGGGATGATTATAGGAAAGTATATTTCTCTAAATCTAAATATTGTAAATTATCCATTTCCATATGTGAAGAGGAATGGTGTATTTTTATAAAGAACAGAGTGCAATGAATCCACCTAGCAATCAGTCTTCACATAACCTGTCAAACAACTAAATTTATGATATTAGCATGTTAACCTCTTTCATCAATTATAAATTTCTTTTGCCCATTTGAATTCACCATGTACTGATTTACAATGTAACAACAGCAAAAACAAACGACTTTGTTCCTCAACTGGTAACAAGGAGAACCATTTTATTTTCCTCCTGTATGATATGGAAATTGAGACATTCTGAAAAATGTATCATGTAATATGTTCGTAGCCCATCATAGAGTCACCATCGTTGTTCAAAGTACTAATCTGAAAGTACACAGGCATTGAACACAAAGCCAAGCAGGTTTTGACAAAGCCATTTTGAAATAGGCATTTAATCAAACAGCTAACGTGCAAGACGAAAAACCTACGATTGCCCACTTATTTTGGGGAAAATGATTACCTGATCGTAGCCAGAGAGGTCAATGGAGTGACTCGCAGTCTTGTAGCATAAGTGCCCGGAGGTAAACCCTAGAGGAGAGAGAAAACAGATTTAAGCTTTCGAATGGGATCCGTCTAACCTCCATCGGATCATCAGAGTGTTTAATGGGACGAGCTCTACGAAATTTGGGCTTATTCTTGTTTGGGGAACTTAAAGACTTGGACCCTCTATCTGGGCTTCAGACAAATGACAACCCATTAAGCCAAAACATTGGAGAAAATATCGAATGTAAAGGTGATATTACGTTAACGCGATCTGAACACAATATGAATTTAGAGAGTTTGAGTCTTCCTTAATCTANAAATTGAAGAAAATATTGAATGTAAAGGTGATATTACGTTAACGCGATCTGAACACAATATGAATTTAGAGAGNACATTGGAGAAAATATCGAATGTAAAGGTGATATTACGTTAACGCGATCTGAACACAATATGAATTTAGAGAGTTTGAGTCTTCCTTAATCTACCTATTTTGTAAACAAAATGGATTCGACACGACACGATTAATAAACGAATCGATTACGTGTGAAATTAACCAAAAAAAAATATGACACGATTCATTTATATACCGATTATACACAACACGAATCCAATATGAAATAATTCGTTAGACATGAATTAATAAAATGAATCAAGTATGATGTAAATATTTTTTAATACAAACTTGTTAAGACACAACACGAATCCATCTCAACCGACACGATTGATAGACCTAATTATCACGTAGTTTTATTATCCAAAAACAAATCTATATGTAGATAAGTAGACCATACTTAATTTAGTNTCGTTAGACATGAATTAATAAATGAATCAAGTATGATGTAAATATTTTTTAATACAAACTTGTTAAGACACAACACGAACCCATCTCAACCGACACGATTGATAGACCTAATTATCACGTAATTTTATTATCCAAAAACAAATCTATATGTAGATAAGTAGACCATACTTAATTTAGTAACTACCCTAAGTAGACCATACTTAATTTAGTAACTACCCCTATTCATGTACAAAAATAGCTATCAAGTGGGGCTTTATCTTTGTCCACCTATAGGTTTATTACTGAATGATAATACCATACAGTAATAATGACGTGGTGTCACAGTTACATCCAATAGTTTACCAAAATTGGGTGATCCACTGTCACTATTTTTTATTTTATTTCTTGTAACAAAAAGTTAAGCTACATTTTTTTTAAATAACTTACTCTAAGAAAAAATTGGTCAAAAGCTTGTGGAGTCATAAGTTTTAATGCATTCTCTAAAAGATACTTAATTACTTTTAAAGTATTCTTATTTTGACTTATATTCATCATGATTGTTATAATATCTTTTTTTTTTAATATTATTTCCCCAGTTATAATTTAATGGCAAAGATTATGAGGACAGCCCAAATTATTGAGGTTTTGGGGTTATATTTTTCTATAGCCAATTGTAGCCATTTGGCCATTTTAATGTCTTAGGCCAAGCCTATATGGCCGGCCCATTCTAAATGCATAAAAGTTTTGTCTTCTAACGAGAAGACTTTAGGCTTATTTGATTTGCTTATCAAAAAATTAGTATTCAAAAATTATTTTTGATATTTTTGTATTATAAAATTTGTTTGGTTCTATGATTTCAAAAATAGTTCTACAGAATAAAAGAAATAGTAAAATTTGTTTGGACAGTAACCCAAAACAATAAAAAAAAATGTGATAGTGGTGAAAGTGTGGTAGTTATGTTTTCTAAATTTAAAAAAAATTATTTTTAAAAATAAATAAAACAGTTCTAACTTGATTTCTTAAATCTACTCAATATTTGTTCACAGTTTTCAAAAAACAAAAATAAAAAATAACTAGTCAAACTACTTTTTTTTTAAAAATTATTTTTGAAAAAAAAAAAACAGTTTATGAGATGCAAACCAAGTAGAAGTTTAATTCTTCATCTTTCATTTATTATCATTGTTAACTCCTACTATTTTCCTCTTTTTAGATTTCTAGATGATTTTTTCGAAGTCCTCACTTTTCTGTCCATATAAAACAATAGAAAATAGTCAAATTCTTCTCAAAATAGACCTCACAACCAAAGGATTTGATTCGGTCACGATACAAGTGAAAAAAAAACGGATCCTAAAAAAGAGATTTCGGGTTTCTACCTAATGGAATTGCTCTTAACTTACTAACCGGCGAAAAGAAGGATCTTTTGAAGAGAGAAGAAAAAAAGAAAAAAGAAAAAAATGAATTGGAGTTTGCTGCTCTCTCCAATGATCCCTGGATCAAGAGACTTGGTGGCTTCTCTTGCTAAATACATTGCTGTCTAATGATAAGTAGATTTTGCCCCTGTTTTTGTGTTTTTCTTTGTGCTTTTGGTGAGAATGAGATTATTGCTCCTTCATACCCAACACCACCAGCTACTCAACACATTTTCTAGGTGACTAAAAAGCAATATTACATGAAAATATTCCAAAATTCTAAAGTTTTGAATGTCTTCCAACCAAGATGCAAACATAAAATAAAGACTGAAGAACAGAAAGTTGGAGACCAACATTAATTTACTAAAGCAGCCATATTTGAACCCACCCACCCTCTCATTGGCCATTCCCACTCAGGCTAGTCGAGTCAATTATTAACAGGAACAACCTTCACAGACAGAAACCCTAAAAAACCCTTTCCATCAACGGCATTTTCTTGTATCTATATAATTAGACAGTCACTATCAGGATTATATTTCTTGTAGATGATCTTAACCATTCATCATGCAACAAAACTTGATGATCAGATTCAGAAGTATAGTCTTGTCTGACCCTTTAAACCAATGGGTTTGTTGCAGAAGACCCATAACTGTTCATCATGCGAGTCCACAGTCCAAGTCCATTGGGATAACCAAAAGAGCCCTTCCCAGAATCAGAAGAACTACCTTGATCTTGCCATTCTAGTGACAAAAGCTTGTTGTTTTGCTTCACTTCCATTGCATTTTGATCCTCATTTCCTCCATGTTGAAGCTTTAAATTTAGCCTCTGGTCACTGTTCATCAAAGTCCCACTCCCACTAGTGTTCCCATCAAGAGACATTCCAAATGGAGACCAATAGCCATGACAATTGGATCCCAACCCATGAGTACCCATATCACCAAACCCACCCATCATACTTAANAAATGAAATTGTAATTGTTTGAAGTAATTTTTTAATCGATTATAAATATTATCTTATTTATTGTAATTTTATCTTTAAAAGATATAATTTTTTGTATTATTTTAAAAATTATAACTTAAACTCAAAAAATAATAATTTAATTTTTAAAAATTGTATCTCTCATCACTTTTTTAATTATGTCTTTTACTGCAAAAAAATTATAAATTTTTGTGTGATATGAATTTCGGTCCCCCGATCTTCCTCATTCATAAGACACGAGGAGCTTAGAGTACTAAACAAAGGTCAAGGTGCAACATTGATGAAGAGTGCCAATTATGCCGTATCGAATTGTATTTATGTTGAAGATTAATCAATTTTAATTCAATTTGTTAAATTAATCATGTCGTGTTATATCAACTTCTTTATTTTTTTTTCNATGACAATTGGATCCCAACCCATGAGTACCCATATCACCAAACCCACCCATCATACTTAACCCACCATTTTCCATGAAACCATGGTCTCTAGAACTGACTCCAACATGACCATCATACTTACTTTCCATAAAATAAATGGGTCTAGGATTTTCAAGTAAGGCATTGTACTTGGTGTCCATGAAACTAGGGCTAGTAAGGCCACCATGGTTGCCTAATATGTTAGAAAGGTGAAGATCAGTTGGATTGATAGACGATGATCTGGGTCTGGGGTTCGGGTCGAAGGGTTGATCATTTGATTTCTTGGAAGAAACCTTCTTGTTCTTCCTACATCCACCACCCACAGGGATGTTCCTTAGGGTCCCTCCTTTGGTCCAATACCTTCTACATGTTTTGCAGTAGTACCTTGGCTGGGTGAGACTATAGTTGTTGTAGTAACAGAACTTGGTGTGTGTTGAGTCACACCTAGGGCACTTTATGGCTTGGTCATGTTGGGGCCTAAGTCTGGTCTCTAGTAAGGGATTTGAGCATGTGAGCATGTCCCCAGATGGTGAAGAAGAAGAATCCATTCCTGTCTCGTCGATAATTGTGCCCTGACATGGAAACCAAGAGAGCAATAGGAATGTGTGTTAAAACTTAGGGGAATACTATGATCGTTGTCGCACCGAAAATTACTAACCTTTTAAATTCAATTATAATTTTTTAGAGTGTAAAGTAAATTGCAAAGGGCATGATCAATAAAAAAAATGATATGATTAATTATGAAAGTAACAATTTTTAAACTTCAACTTATAATTTTTAAAGATTAAATTACAACTCGTAAAAGAACAATTATAATTGCCTGGAATAATTCATCATCGATCATAATATTTCATGTTCAATCATGAATCATATGAAACATCACTTTAAAGGGTAAACCTTTCACTTAAAAATTGATAATTTTCACAATGGTGTTACATTTTTTTCCGGTATCATAATCTTATCCTAGAATTCATGTCACAATAATGCAGGTAGTTGATATTCCTTGTCCAAATACTGCTAAATTTATCAAATCACTTGCTAAAGTTTGCCTATCAATTTGATTTGTATTGTTGGATAGAACAATGAATCTTATTATTTTTTCATTGGGACTCACTGGCCTAAAAAATTCACATTAATTTGATAAAAAAAAATTAATGTACACATTATTAATGTTTCTTGTCTTATATAAATTAGATATGTATATTTGAATGTCTAAAGTATAATGCAGACACTTAAGGATTTATCCTTCATAAACACCTTCGTCTCGGCGTGAATAGTTTGTCTTTAATCAAATTTGAGAAAAAATTAATCGAAATACACGTATGTTGGATTGAATAATCCTGACTATTGGAAAAAAAAAAAAAAANAAAAAAAATTAATCGAAATACACGTATGTTGGATTGAATAATCCTGACTATTGAAAAAAAAAAAAAATCTTCTACCACTAGAACTATTGTTGTCAGTTGTGTTAGATTTTTTTTTTTTTGAACTGTCAGAACCCATAAGTCATGATTAGGTTCTTTGTTTTATCTTCTTTATCTAGCTATAGTGGGTATGGAAACTCAAATTGTTACTTTTTGGCATTAGAACTGCTCTATCCATTCCTTAGACCATTTGTCTCCTCTAAAGCTATCTTGCACGAGAGAGAGAGAGAATGCATGATATATACCTGTAGCCAGTCAGATGAATCCATGCGAACTTGCAAACNGTGGGTATGGAAACTCAAATTGTTACTTTTTGGCATTAGAACTGCTCTATCCATTCCTTAGACCATTCGTCTCCTCTAAAGCTATCTTGCACGAGAGAGAGAGAGAATGCATGATATATACCTGTAGCCAGTCAGATGAATCCATGCGAACTTGCAAACAAGCTGAGCTATGTGAAGCCAGATTGAAATTCTTCAGTTCAACCTTGGGGACTTCAAACTTCAAGAGACACTGCATTAATTCACAGCTTCACTGCCACCAAGTGCATACAAATGAGAGAAAATAGAACAAGAAAGGGATGTATTTGTTTTTATACATAAGGTGGAGAGAGAGAGAGAGAGAGAGAGAGAGAGAGAGAGAGGTTGATTGGTTTGGGGTGGCAAAGGGTGGGCTGGTGATTGGGAATATGAAGGAAAAGAAGGAATTGGTGGAGAGTAATGAATAGGTACTTCAACGGTAACGGTGATGAATTGTAAATTTAAATACCGTTAATTTTGGTAATTTTTTTAGGCTAAATCATAAAATTTATTTATCATAAATATTTTAGTCTCGATATAAATAATTTATTTTTAACTAAATTAAAAGAAAAATTAGTTAAAGGTGCATGTTAGATTGTCTGCTTAACGTGACAACTTAAAAAAAGAAAAAGTGGAGAGCAACTGATAGCTATTGCTACGGGCAGTGAGAACTCAAATGGGCCCCACAGTGTCTGTCAAGTGTCCCAATTGTATACCCCACCGACATCCAACTTAACACACGGCCTAGATGTCACCACAATTTGATTGGGAGCATCTAAACCATAGATGAAGGTAGTTACAACATATTTTCGTACCGTAATTTCTATTTTCATTTACCAAAAATTTATCATCTATGAAATTTTATTATTTTTAATTAATAATTTTAAATCATTCAAAATAAAATTTAACATCAAGATACATGTCGATATCAAAGTCCGTACCATAATTTTGAACAAAGTATTAATCTACGATAATATTAAAATAAAATTATCAAATTATAATATTTTAAAACTTATTTACGAAATTATGATATATTTTTTTTGAAAATAGGACTGTTACCACACTTTTAAGGGTGAATTTATTGGACTTATGACTCTTTTTTTGGAATTTAAATTTTAAAATGTTGAATAGTTTTGTATGAGTAAAGGTTAAAAACGGAGTTGTTGATTTTACTTTTTAACAAAAATGAAGTTGTTCGAATCTATTTTTTAAAAATTATTATAATTTAATAAATAAATTTTAAAATATTAATTGTAATTTAATAATTTTATTTAAAAATTGTATACTTAATTCCCTAATTTTATCCTAAAAAATAACGGCGTGGGAATTGAGGGAGGCCATGTGTGATGTGACTGAAGTGAGAATATTGGGGTCTTCGATAAAGAGCACAAAGAATGAACCAAAACCGAAAGATCACTTCACTCCTGGACCCCCACTGGCTTATAGGTAGACGGTAGACCCCTCCAATTCCCTTCTTACAAGTAAAGTATAAATTCCGTCTGTCACGTGTTTCCTCTTCTCCTCGTCACCTGCACATTTTAAAAATGAAATTGTAATTGTTTGAAGTAATTTTTTAATCGATTATAAATATTATCTTATTTATTGTAATTTTATCTTTAAAAGATATAATTTTTTTATTATTTTAATTTAAAAATTATAACTTAAACTCAAAAAATAATAATTTAATTTTTAAAAATTGCATCTCTCATCACTTTTTTAATTATGTCTTTTACTACAAAAAATTATAAATTTTTGTGTGATATGAATTTCGGTCCCCTGATCTTCCTCATTCATAAGACACGAGGGGCTTAGAGTACTAAACAAAGGTCAAGGTGCAACATTGATGAAGAGTGCCAATTATGCCGTATCGGATTGTATTTATGTTGAAGATTAATCAATTTTAATTCAATTTGTTAAATTAATCATGTCGTGTTATATCAACTTCTTTATTTTTTTTTCCGTGTTTGTGTCGACCTATATAATACATGAATAAAAAATTTAACATTCAGTTGTACGTCTACAATTTTATTATTACTTAATCAAATTTATGCTCAAATTTTTTTATAAACTAAAAATAAATGTAATAAATATATATAATAATAAAAAGATTAGGTCAATTTCGTATTGTTTGTATTTGACATTAATCTAATTTATTTATTATTCGTGTTAACGGGTAGTATTATATACGAGTTCGTGTCGAGAAATAATAAACTCTAACCCATTTCTGCTCTCGCTCAGGTTCCCCCCAAAAAAAAAAAAAATTATAACAAGAATGGTACCTTGTCTTTGGATGCAGTAGGGCTGTTAGTGTCCATGTGTGTACACGATGTTGGCACTCTTTTGGATGATTAATATTTTGATCTATTGAATTTGTTAATTGTTAGATATAATTGAAAGAAAACTCTAAAAGAATGCTAGGGTCTTACTAAGACTTGACATCCAAAGGCCACACCAGTGCTGTATTTGAGCCTTTTTTTTCCCAACAATAATATATGGATGCTAAGGGCGTGCCATAGGGTGATGCGAAGTATATCTGGCATTGCGTCTAATCAATTTCAGGTCAAACAAGTCCCTTAGTTCTTAGTCTTGGTAATAGTCCGTACATTTCGTGGATTAGATCTCCAGATCAACAACGTAGCACTTAATCAGTTGATCTAACATTTTATATTAGCAAAATGAATTAAGATAACTTTTTGAAATACTCAGCTATGTTGTAATAATAACAAATCTAATGTGCCATATATTAAAAAAGTCCAAAAAACATGTCATAATTTGATAGAAGATTCCACCAACAGCGGCATAGTCTATGAGCATGCGTGATGGTTCCAGCGGT